CTAATTCTGATTTATCACTACCACTCTCATCATCTAAAAGGATCTTGGCCTATGAAATAACAGAATAGTCAAAGTTAATTCACGATGGAGCTACAGCAATGAGAAGTTGGATAACGCTATTTACAAACTATGTCTGAACTTGGTGAAGTTAGATGTTGAATACCATAAAAATAAAATAAAAATTATATTAAAAAAGAAAACTTACTAACCTGTACAACTGAAAAAGGCTTGCCAACGGTACCTCCTTTAGGTTTGCCTCTAATGGGATTAGATATTGCCATCACAAACTAGACAAAATTGGCCATTCACGTAAAGATGGAAATGAATTAAGGAGCAATAAAGTAATGAGCAGCCTACAGATCAAATTAAGTGGCTATGAGGAAAAAAAAAACCTCAGTCATGCCGTAATATTCTAATAACCGATGCCCTGTAATTGTTTCCCACCGCTGCATGATGGGGAAAGGAAGTGCAGAGGAGCCACACATCTAGAAAGACAAACCAATTTGTTCAGTCACTTTCACTGGAATAGAAGTGGGATTATCTCTGAAATCCAATAATGTGCCAAAAACGGAAAAAAATAACAGTGGCCAATCCTACTGATTATACACAATAGGGTCCTAATTGTATTTTGTATGGTCTATTCAAACACTTAACGACTTGAGGGGTTCCATGCTTCGTGCTTCTTACTTACCATAAGGCGCAAGTGCCTCGCTGCTGAAGCAGAAGCTGCTTTCTGCTTTGGATCCATCTCTTCATAATATTGTATTAGTCGTGTATACATAGTAGGAACCTATTTGAAGAGTGAATTTAAGAAAAAAATAAAGCAAATTAAACACCATTGTGCTAGTGAATGCTAGCCGAGCATATAAAATGTGTTCTAGGCTCCTAACAACTGAAGAAACCCAGTCGGTGAATGATCTTCCTTGAGAAGCTTAAGAACGAAAGCTCATGTATAGACAACGTACTAGATATGTAACAAGCCAAGTCGTGGCAACTAAATTTCGCTATCAAGTCAGAACAACTTACCCCAGTGAAGATCGTTATCATTATCAGTTTTAGTCCTATCTGTAGGATAAGATTCACACCATCTCTGCCAAATCTTGCTTACGCTGAATTTTGGTATAAATTCGACCTTACAAAAAGAAAGAAAATGTAGTAGTATGAAAATCATGTCCAAACAACACGTATGCTGCTGGAGAACAAGTTTGACGATGTTAAATCTCTTTTAGTAGTTACCGTGGAACCTGCATAAAGAGGAGCAAGTAAAGCATTGAAAAGTCCATGCACATTTAAGGTACCAGTTAAGGATCAGAAAAATATAAGGCTTCCAATCACATTATTTATGTCCCATAAGATAAATAACAATGCGAAAAATGAAACACCAATAGAACATTTTGGGAAAAATGCAACTGAGGATATGATGAAGTGGCAGGCAGTGCAGAAATTGGTCCTTGGACGTGTATTCCCATACCTCTGCTAAAATTTGGACATGAAACAGTACAAAGATGGAAATAGTTTACTTCCAGAATCTGAAATGTACGAGGTTCAGTTTACCGTAACTAATTGTTTCAACCGAGTGAACCTTCAACCTCCCAAATTATTGACATTTGAAAAGAAAAGGTTAGGTATGCAAGTCAAAGAGATCACAAATTCTTCTTCATAAGTAGTCCTACGTGGTAAACTGGTAATACAGGTTTACTATCATCTCTCAGCAATAGATACACTGACACAAGCACAATCAGAATATCTGATCCTAAGAATTGATAGATTAGATAAACAGTCTAACTACAGAAAATCAAGAAAGTTAAAAGCAAATAAACAACCATATCGAGAGATACATAACGCTCCCAGTTTCTCGCTTCCAGAATATTTCTAGGACCATCAGATACCATGGCTTTTGCATGGTCGTGCTTCGCCGATAAATGGGCACTGGGAATAGGAGGAATAAGAGACAAATAGGCACCAGTTTTAACTGCAAGTGTATTCATAAGTTCTTGGTGGACCTTTTTTTTGATAAGTTCTTGGGGGTCATCAGTACTCAGCATTACCGAGATGTCCTAAAAGTCAAATTTGCACAAGGATTTTAGTATATCATGAAACAAAGGACATTGCGTTATAGTAATATGATGCAGATGGAAACTGATTGAAGATGACCTAATTGTACAAGGTTAGAAGAAAAACCAGAAGAATAATGCAAGCTATATTACACATGTTTGAGTATGACAAAAAGGAAAAGCATCATTATTCTGTGCATGTTGGATATCTTGCAAGTCACAAAAAGACTGAGCAGAAGATGATAGAAAAGATAGAAGATTCATGGACAAACCGAGTCATTCATCACATGTAGTAGTTCGGTTACTGGGTAGCTTAGCACAACAGGGACTGCAACACCTCCACTAAGTCAAGTCCCTAGTATTCCAGCAATAAACTCAGCACATGGTTTGGCTACGATTCCTACTCTTGCTCCACCAAGATCTACATTTCTTTTTACGCCATTGCCCTAGAAAGGAGGAAGCATTTGAACAGTAAGGCAATCAAGGAAAGGACTGACTACGAAATTGGTAGAACAATGTAAACAGAAGAAAGAAATGGTGTCTTGGAAAAACGACTAACGTTGAAATAAGAAAAACTAGAAAGCATTCACCTAGTCACATCTATTTGACGAATATTAAAATCCAGCAAGAATGCAGCTTTAATTATTCAGAGGTAATATGTTGAAACTCACAATTTTAGGATCTAGGTTGCTTAACAAACTTGATATACTCGTTGCAGATGATATCATTTGAAGGTAAGTGTAGCTCTTCTCATCAACTCGTATTGCAATATTCCCCTGGGACTCGGGTCCCTTGCTGGCAATTTCTTTCACCAGCTCCATATAGCTACTAATATTTGAAGCTTTAATATGAAAGCAGGAAAGAGAAAAACAAAAGAAAAAGAAAGCAACATACTTCAAGGTTATGTAAAATTTCATATTGCTATGAGTGTTTCTAAAAGTGAAAAGTGCAAAAAGGCAACAATGTTCGTGAGGCATAAAGGGAAACGGTGTAAATTGAACTAGTGAAGTGCACACTTCTTTGAAGTGATACACACAATTTATGGAAAACTAAAAGATACCAAATATGATGAATTTAGCTAAGTTGGACTCTTCATATGTGGTGTCGCTCTGTGTCGACACGACACCAACACTAACACTAGTATGGCTGTGGGATAGATACTAGATCCGATCAATCAACATTTGGGTACTTTGACCACAAACTATGGAGACATTAGAGGCAAGATTTGGCAGTTTATTTCTCAAGGCAAAAGCTACTGTAGATTTCTAGATGGCTGCCTTCGACTTGAGAATAAAAGATTAAGTTACTGCATTCTACAAGCTACATGTAAGTTTTCCACATAGTCTCCTAATTTAGGCATATTTTTATAGCTCTATTTTTAGATATAGCTGAAACCTTGCATTTATATCTGTACTCTTGAATCTTAAAATTTAGATCATGAAGGATCTGACCTCTAGATCTGCATCCGTATCGGATACCTAACCCGAGTCTGAGCAACTTAGGAATTTAGTACTATAATAATCAAATAGTAATTAAAATAACTAATTATGGTATCCAATAGATATTTTGATCCAACTCTTCAAAATTTGAGATCCAAAGAATCAATGCCTTCCCATTGGGATCACTTTGTGCGTCATTGTTTGAAGCACAAATTTTTCTAAAGGGCATGGCTTCAACCATGAAGCTATAACCCCTCTTTTCGCATCACTTCATCTCTTTATATGACTTTTAATAACACTATCAGTCATCTCTAACTTTTTGAAGCGAAAAAGAATAGAAGAAAGTGTAACATCCAAGGGAATCTCAATAGAGTACGCCGCGTGTAATATTCAGCAAACAATACAAATGGTACTCCAAGAATGCAGATATTTGTTACAGATGCAAATAGCAATCAGTATGTTGAATGAGAATTAATTTGCAGATATTTGTTACAGATGCAAATAACAATCAGTATGTTGAATGAGAATTAATCTTATCCTTTATCTCTGTCTTCTCTCTTTCTCTTTACCTCTTCTTCCATCTTTTCTGCATTTCACTATTAGTTAAGCTCACCGGAGATTGGCATTTCATTACAATTTACTAGTAAGCAAAATTAGTCAATCAGACAATGTCAACAAATTCAAATTCAGACATTGAATCCAAACAGCAGCTTCCCAAAATTCAAGTTTCCATACTGAAATCATTTCTCACCCCTCAAAATGCCAACTGAAAGACAACAATAAATCAAGAACACAGTTCACGGGAATCACACCAATTTTTTTCGCTAGTCTATAACGTAATCACATGTATATAAAACACGAATTACATCGAAAATTCACAGTCTAAAATCATACTTGTTACAGAAGATTGTTCCAATACTTTTCGGGAACAAAATCTTAATTGCAACGGCTACTCTTTTTACTCCTTTTTATTACTCTTAAGCGATACAACAGTTAGGAAAAGTCCTATTAATTGTGTTTTTTTAACTCAGGATGATGGGCCCGCCACTCTAACCTTCTCCAATTAAATACTGGAGTAGCCCTCGAACTTGTGACCTAAGACACAAGTCCCTCAACCTTTGTCAATTGAGCTAAACTGATACAAGTTAGAAGAAGCAGGAAGCGAGCAGAAATGGGAATAGCAAGCAGAAATGGGAATCAACTAACTTTGCTGACATGGCAAAAGTTAGTTATTAGTTAGTTAGGAGTAGTTAAAAGTTAGTTAAGTCTAGAATCTTCCTAGAGTCAATCCTATATAGTTGAGTGAATTGTAATCAATGAAATCAATGAATGATCATCATAATTCTCTTCCTAAATCTCTTCTACATTTCTTAGCTAAATTCTCGCAAGTTTGCTTGGTTAGCTAGCACCTTCTTCGAGCTTAGCTCCTAGATTGACTATAATCCGCGATACTTGATTGTGTTGCATCAATTGGTATCAGAGCTCACGATCCTTGGCAATTGGATTCATGACGCGAAGCAAAAATTCAGAGAAAAACATGGAGGAATTGGATGAAAAACTAACTGCCATTAACGAGCAGTTGCAGAAATTGATGGATGGGATGATGGTTATCGGTGAGCACAATGTGCAGACTGATAAGGAGCTACTGGAGTTGAAGGAATCCATGGGAATGATGAATCAGAAGGGAAAGGAAAAGGAAACGATGAGAGCTGAATCATCAAATATCAGAATTGGATCGATGGATCCTCAACAAGAAGGCAGAGGCAGAGAAGTTCAGCAAGGTATGAATCATAGTAGCAACCATCTCACTCGATATTCTAAACTAGAATTCCTTCGATTTGCTGGAATAGATTTAAAAAATTGGTTGTATAAGATCGATCAATTCTTCTTTATGGATGAAGTTGCTTTTGATCAAAGAGTTAAGGTATCTTCTATCCATTTTGATGGAGAGGCCATTGCTTGGCATAGATCATTCATGAGATCTAGGATTTTTGTGCTAGATCCCACTTGGATGAGTATGTGTTGGCATTGAATGAAAGGTTTGGAGATGGATTCGAAGATCACATGGAGGCATTGAAAAATCTGCAACAAACTGGTAATGTTAGGGATTACCAGGCAGAATTTGATAGACTTTTAACTGGTGTTAATTTGTCCAATGAAAATGCAATCAGTTGTTTCCTTGGAGGCTTAAAACCAGAATTGAACAAATTTGTTAGAATTCAATCCCCCAGAACCTTGTTACAAGCTTATAAGATTGCTAGGTTACAAGAAGAAGTGTTTGAAGCTCAAGCTGAATCATGGGGATTTAAGCCTAGGTTGAGTAACAGTTCTGGCCTTTTGCCTAATCCCAATAACAATAAACTCCAGTATAACCCAAAGAGCCAAATACCAAACTCCACTATCAAAAAGCCTTTTGAACCTAACTTTACAAAAAACAACAGACCTTATGGGATGAGGTTGACTGCAGCTGAAATGAATGATAAAAGATCCAAGGGTCTATGTTTCTTTTGTGATGAAAAGTATATACCAGGACACAAGTGTAAGAACAACAAGCAATTGTACTTATTAGAAGTGATAGAAGGTGAAGAGTTAGAGGTGGATGAGGTAGAGATGACAACTGGAGATATGGTAGACTCAAATGAGTTTATGGCTATATCACTGCAAGCCTTTACAAGTGCAGCAGGGTATCAGACCATAAGAGTCACTGGTTACCATGAGAAAAGACCATTGCAGGTGTTGATAGACACTGGGAGTACTCACAACTTTATTGATGAATTAGTAGCTGCTAAATTGGGCTGCAAAGCTTGTTCAATTCAAAGACAATCTGTTAGTGTTGCAGATGGTAGGAAGGTGCAGACTGCTTCAGTTTGTAAGGATATGAAATGGTTACTGCAAGGTACCGCCTTCTCCTCTGACTTTTTATTACTACCATTGGGCAATATAGATATTGTATTGGGAGTTCAATGGTTGAATACTTTAGGAAGGATATTGTTTGACTTTAAAAAGAGAACAATTAAATTCATATACCAGGGAAAGAAACATGTTTTGAGGGGTGCTAATGACCAACTTAAGACTGCCAAGGTTAAGAGTTTGGTCAAGAAGAGTAGTGATGAAGCTCAATTCTTCATGATGTCCTTAGATAGTGAGGCTAGTGGTATTCATTGCCACAATATACATGCTATACCAAGAGCTGATCAATTGCCAGAATTAGCAGCTCTCATTAAACAGTATGATAGGGTATTTGAACCACCTACTACATTACTACCTCATAGGGGCTCTTTTGATCACAGAATTCCTCTTAAGGAAGCTTCCAATCTTGTGAATAAGAGACCTTATAGGTAACCTAGGGATTAAAAGGACATATTGAGAAGTTGGGTAACAAGAGATGTTGGATCAAGGGGTGATTCAGCACAGCTGTAGTCCTTATGCTTCTCCAGTAGTTTTGGTGGGAAAGAAGGATGGTAGCTGGAGGCTTTGTGTTGACTATAGGAGTCTCAATCAAATGACCATAAAGGATAAGTTCCCTATTCCTATGATTGAGGACCTATTGGATGAATTACATGGTGCTGAGGTATTCTCAAGAATAGATCTCAGGGCTGGTTATCATCAATTGAGAATGGCTGAAGGGAGTATACAACAAGACTGCCTTTAGGACTCATGAAGGACACTATGAATTTTTGGTTATGCCATTTGGCTTGACCAATGCTCCTTCTTCCTTTCAAAGTCTGATGAATGCTGTTTTCAAGCCTCTACTAAGGAAATCAGTGTTGGTGTTTTTTGATGATATTTTGATCTATAGCAAGGATATAGATACTCATGTAGTTCATGTAAGGGCTGTATTAGAGTTGATGAAGCAACATCAGTTGTATGCTAAGATGTCAAAGTGTGCTTTTTGGAGTAGCTAAGGTGGAATATCTTGGCCATTTTATTAGTGCTGAAGGTGTAGCAACAGATCCTAAGAAGATTGCTGCTGTGCAAGATTGGCCTATACTAGTCAACATTAAACAACTGAGAGGATTTTTAGGCCTTGCAGGCTATTACAGAAGATTCATTCAAGGTTTTGGAACCATTTGCATACCTTTGCATGATTTGCTGAAAAAAGATAGTTTTGTGTGGAGTAATGAGGCTACTGCTATTTTTAATGCTTTAAAGCAAGCCTTAGTTTCAGCTCCTGTGTTGGCTATGCCAGACTATAATAAGCCATTTACTATTGAAACAGATGTTAGTGGGAAGGGGATATGTGCTGTACTTATGCAGCAAGGCCATGTTGATACCCAATTTTTCCCTAAGTATTTTTATATACTCAAAATATCCTCAAAATAGCATATGCATGCATATATAAGCAATCCCAAGAGTTTTGGTATTTTTCCTTATTTTAAATCAATTTATTGTCTATTTTAACAGTACAAAATCCAATAATTATTCCCAAAATTATCATTTTTGTGAATAACTTATTTTATTCTCATATTTACACCAAATATAATTAAGGTATTTTTTTGTATATTTTTACAAATTTGTTTGGTATTTTTAAAGCTAAGCATATAAAGGCAATTATAGCCTATTTCACGATTAATAGCGTTTTATAATTGTAAAATTAGTTCTAATATTTTTAAATTAATACATATGTATTATTAATTGGTTCGACATCTTCAATTTTCTTTTAAAAATCATTCACTATTTTTATAAAATAAAAGGGAAAAACTGGCTATTTAAAATGTAGTCGCATTTCGTTTCAATTGCAGCCCCAATTCCATTTCAATTTTAGCCTTAATTTTGGCCCAATCCGCCCCCAAATCAAAACGACCCAATTTGATTTCTCACCCGACCCCTGACCCAATTGCTAAACCCGCCCGGGGTTCTTTTAAATCCAGGCCGTTGATCCTTTTGATCAACGGCCACAAATGATTCTTTCCTTTTTAATTCCACATGACCTAACCCTAATACCCATTTCTCTTCGACAGCCGCCTTCGAACTCTCTTCTCTCTCAAACGCTCTCAAGCACTCAAACCCTAATCGCCTCCCTCGTCTTCTCCGACCATTATCTCGCCGGAGTCTATGGCTTTTCAGGCCATGGACGACCTGTGCTCACCTTCCTTCACCTCTAAACCATGGGTGTTCGAGATTTCGAGGTCTGACCTCGACGGCGTCCGTTCAGATCCCCTGCAGATCTGTGTTCTTTGGCCTCTCCGGCCCTATTCCGACGTATTCGAGCTTTAGAAGCCTAGTCATGGCCATCTCTGACTCAAGACCAGACCTCTTCCAAGCCTTCTCATTGTTTCAGAGAAACCCTAAGGCTATTCGAGGTTCCTTACTCTTTTATTTACTTAGATCTATGGTGGATCTGTGCTATATTCAATGTTTTAAAGCTTTTCCCCAATTTTCTTTTCAAAATTAGTCTGTTTCAATTTAGGGTTTTCGGAAAATCTTAAAACGACTTCTGATTTTTCTTCTTCTTCTTTTTTTGTGTGAATCTGTCTATGCCATGTTCTTATGTTCTTTCCTCGCATGTCTGCTCCTATGTTCTTATGTTTTGCCATATTATGCATGTTCTTCTATTTTTTGTGTTCTGTTCTTTCTTCTACCGGGCTCTATAAGCATGCTTTACATGTCTATCTCGTATGTTTCTTTACTGTATTTTACTAAGCTTCTAATCCTTGTTTGCCTTTATTTGACTTTTGTTTGAACTCTAAGCAGGTTCCGTCTACTGTTTTTCCTAAACCTGTATCGCTTTTTCTCTCCTGAACTTGTTTGAGTGCCATGTTTTGCCTAAATGTATTCCCTGTGTTTCAAACTTGCTGCTCTCTCTGTTTGTTTTCTTATAAGTCTCTGAAAGAGACTACTGAGCCTGTTCTATTTGTTGTTTTCTCGTCTATGCATCTGATTCGAGTTAGAAACCCTAGTATTTGGGGTTTTTGGCAGGCTTGACTTTGTGTTTGGTCTAGGGTTCCATTCAGAACCCTTGACTCTCTTTCAGGCTCATTTTGAGACTACGAACCTAACCTTCTTGGTCACTCTGATTTCTTGCTAGTTTTACGACAACTCTCTCTTGTCTCACATGTCTGTATGCTTTTATATGACAAATTCTCTTCTTTCAAAAGGCCTTTGGCCAGCTTGTGATTGATTCCGAGTTTTTTTAAAAGGTTTTGTACTGTTGATTTTCTTTAAATTAAACCCCTTCTCACCTTTTCTGGTTGGATTCATTCACACTAAGATTCGAACCCTGACTTTTACTGGTCTGTTGATTGATGTCTTTCCTTGTTCTGCCCAAACCGTGTGCTACTAGACTATTTCATTAAATAAACTGTTGTGTATTTGTCCCTATTACACTGATTTAGAAAATATTTTTAAAATGAATCCTTTCCTTATTTATTTTTGCCCGTTTGAATCAAATCCCTTAACCAAAGGGAACAGCTTGTGATTGATTTCAAAANTTGATGGCCTTGGATTTCACTATTGAATATAAGAAGGGAGCAGAGAATAAAGCTGCAGATGCCTTATCAAGAAAACCAGATGCTGAGTTATTGGCTACCTCATTATTGACTCCTCATGAGTCTATTTTGACACAGATTCAGTCTTCATGGAGGGAGGATCAAGATCTGCAAGATCTGATAGCTAAATTGCAGAGTCAACCCCATATGTCATACACTTGGATCAATAATCAACTCAGGTGGAAGGGCAGATTGGTTGTTGGTAATAATCAGCAACTGAAGAAGCACATCATTACATAGTGGCACAGCACTACACAAGGTGGGCATTCTGGTATGGATGCTACTATTAAAAGGTTGCAGTCCTTATTCTATTGGAAAATTTAGTGGCAGATGTTAGGGACTTCATTAACAGATGTGATGTGTGTCAAAGGCATAAGTATGATGCTGCTGCTTCACCTGGATGGATACAGCCTCTACCTATTCCCGCAGGAGTATGGACTGACATTTGTATGGATTTTATTGAAGGTCTTCCTAAGTCACAGGGTAAGGAGGTTATTTTGGTGGTGGTGGATAGATTAACTAAGACTGACCATTTTTTAAGTTTGCAGCACCCTTATAGTGCTCAAACTGTAGCTCAATGTTTCCTTGATCAAGTCTTTAAACTGCATGGAATGCCACTCACTATAACTAGTGATAGAGATCCAATATTTCTGAGTTCTTTTTGGCAGGAGCTCTTTTCGCTACAGGGTGTACAATTGAAAAGATCTAATGCATATCACCCTCAGACAGATGGTCAATCAGAGGTGGTAAATAGAACCTTAGAGACATATCTAAGGTGTTTTTGTTCAGATAGTCCTAAAGATTGGGCTAAGTATCTCTCCTTGGCAGAATGGTGGTATAATACCACCTATCATTCCACCATTAAATGTACTCCCTATGAAGCCTTATATGGTCAGAAACCTCCTTTTCATTTGCCTTACCTAAATGGTGATACAGATGTAGAAATGGTTGACAGAACATTAGAAGCAAGAGAAGCTATTATTCAGTTGTTGAAGTTCCATCTGGCTAGAGCTCAGCAGAGAATGAGGGATACTGCTAACAAATATAGATCTGAGAGGTCATTTGAAGAAGGAGAATGGGTGTATCTCAAACTACAAACTTATAGGCAGATATCAGTAGCCACCAGACCTTTCAATAAACTTGCTGCCAAGTATTATGGACCCTATCCTATTGCTGCAAAGGTGGGAACAGTTGCCTACAGGTTGCTCATGCCTGCTGATGTCCTTATTCATTCCACCTTCCATGTTTCACACTTGAAAAAGTGTCATGAAGTACCTCATGTTATCAACCATCCTCCTGTACTTCATCTATCTAGTCCTCATTGTCCTCAACCAGAAGAGATATTGGCTTGCAGGATGGTAAAAAAGGGGAATAAGGCTGTGTGTCAAGTGAAGGTTAAATGGTCGGGCTTGGAAGCTGATGCTGCTACCTGGGAGTTTTTGCATGAGCTTCAAACCAGGTTTCCCACCTTTAATCCTTGAGGTCAAGGATTGTCTTTAGGGGGAGGTATTGATACAAGTTAGAAGAAGCAGGAAGCGAGCAGAAATGGGAATAGCAAGCAGAAATGGGAATCAACTAACTTTGCTGACATGGCAAAAGTTAGTTATTAGTTAGTTAAGAGTAGTTAATAGTTAGTTAAGTCTAGAATCTTCCTAGAGTCAATCCTATATAGTTGAGTGAATTGTAATCAATGAAATCAATGAATGATCATCATAATTCTCTTCCTAAATCTCTTCTACATTTCTTAGCTAAATTCTCGCAAGTTTGCTTGGTTAGCTAGCACCTTCTTCGAGCTTAGCTCCTAGATTGACTATAATCCGCGATACTTGATTGTGTTGCATCATAAACCCCCGG